AGCGATGCTACAGTCAACTGATTTTGTCTCATCCATCACATTCATTGTACAATGCAGTGAACATTATTACAATTAAGACGAGAAACTTGATGGAAAAAAGAAGATGAATTTACAAAAAAAAAAACAGAAGTACAATTGTGTACACAGAACTGTAAATTATCTTTTTTTGCCATGTCTTTTAGCTTTTACTTAATGCTCATCAAATTATTAAAATGACATAATTAAAGGTTTTTACATAATCTTTAAAAAAATGTGAATACATCACAGCACAGCTCAAAAAAGATGATGAAGCATGCAATAGATGATGCATACACAAAATTGATGCAATTAAGTGATTGAATACATAAGTTTGCTCATTTATATTTCTTAATTCTAGTCACACACAATTATTATTTTTGAAAATGCTAGCTCATGCCCGAAATTTAAATGAGTATTGTGTCCATCTTTCTTATTTTTCTTAGTACATTTCGGTATTGCAACAATTTTTGGGTGCTTGAATGCAGGTGTGCGCTAATAGGTCATTAATGTAGGATTTAAAATGTTTTTTGGTTAATTGATTGAGCGAAGGAGGTTAGCTAAAGTTGCTTGGTAGCACATTGAATGCTTGCTCAGGTGCTATATTACTGTGAGAAAATTATCACAGGTTTCTGTCGATTTGACGCTTTTAAGAAGTTCCTCTTTTGAAGTTAAAATTGACAGGTTTCGTTGGGCAGGTCATGTTGTTGGGAGCTATTGAAGCTTCGATTAATAAACCTCTTAAGTCTGATTTTCTAGATGGAAAAAGAGCACATGGATGTTCCAAGAACTCATGGAGAGAAGCTGTTGACAGTGACAGTATTACACTTGGTATTGATAATTGGCAAGTGAGAGCCTGCGATATAGCCAGTTTCAGGCACTATCAAAGGGAGGCTATGGATCACAATTGATCTGTACGGCCAGAGAAGTAAGGAAGTAAATAAGAAGTTCCTCAGATCGCATGTAGATCTAAAACTATAGGTATACTTAGTATGGATATGCTCCCATTTTTTCATGACAATAAGGCTACATGTATTCAGTTCTAAAGCCCCTGTTTAAATGCTGTCTTAAGGTTTCTTAGAGAACTTGAAATCTCTCTATAGTCTCGATCACGCTAGCCTTACCACGATCCTGTATTTACTCCACTTGAAAAAAATGCGTCTACAACAATTTGTCAAAAAGTCCACTCGAGCTGTCTTCAGTGCTAGTTCTTTCACCGAACGCAATCTGATGAAACATGATGATGGAGATGCTTTTATGCTCGCCCATACAACCTGATACAATTCATATTTACTGTAAAGAAAATTACAATTATGTAAGTCACTTGACTATCCATGCATGCATGCATATAACATTCCGTGTACACACAGAAAAAAAAAGTCTCTCGAAATTGTAATAATGTAATTTTCTGAAGGACACTATATGTCAAGTTTGTAGTCTGTATAGTACATACCGTCACAAATCATTGAATGACTGAAAAATTGAAAAAAATTACATTCATCCGACTTGTCTGTGATGCGACTTTGACGAGCAGCATTGCTGCAATGGTTCATAATACAAACATCCGTATGGTACGAGCTAGTAAATGTTTGGAATTAATATTAAATATTTGTTTGTTGGATGCTATATGTAATTTATTCGACTTGGACGATAGATGTTGTGATTTGTTGGATGAAATATTTACAAATTGCAAAACTTCATGCTGTCAAAGATCTCATTTTGCCGTCTCACAATTTTTTTTGCAAATTTTAATTGGGCAATAGGCAGTCATGACAAAGGAAACTTACTTGTGTGAATGAACTCAATTTCTTTTCAACTATATGACCATTATTTATATTGACCATGTTTGCATCATATTAGTCCAAGAAAAAGGTTGTCTGCTTCTTCTTCTTCTTCGTTATTTCAATTGCTTAATTACAAATTACTTTTTGATCACTTCAAATAATTTTTTTAGAGCCCACATTAGAGGATCAAAAAATAATAATTCAACAATAAGAGTAAATTTCTTGCTACACACACGCATGTTCACATATTGGCATATCCAAGTATGGAATATAATTTGAAAATGGAGCGTCGTATGCACTAAAAATAACAGTGAATAGTAATAGCTGAAAACAAATTGTCATCACGTAATCTTGCTGTAATTTTAAAACTGAAATAAAACTTGTAATCACATCCAATGTGCTAAATTCTAGATTACAGAGTAGGTAAGCGGATATATTGATATGAAGTTGTGATACCTTGAAATGTAATTCGACGGAAAAACCCCATGATGTCAAGAGCTTTGGTAAAACCGACTGCTTTTTTTTCTCAAGATTATTGTTTGTGCTTTCTCGAAAGTTTATTAAGTAAACAATGGGATGCACCTTTAAAATAAAGAAATGCACTTTCACTACTTGTTTACTATTGCTGTCTTCTTCATTTATGACCTTAAATAGTTCAAGGTTAAAGAAGTTAAAATTGGAACTATAAAATGATTTAGGATTTGAAGATTAGTTTACTTAAATATACTCAGAGTGCTACCAGGTTACAACTTAGTTCATCACCTCGTTTAATTCAATTTATATATAAATAAAGCATCTAAAAATCAACATTGTAATTTATAAACCTTTAGATTGGATTGAATTTTGTGTCTATAGATGTATTATTTCATGTTTTCTTGGTAACATCCGAATAAACAGTACATAAATGGGATAAAAAATCATTTCTATCGAGTTTCCAGCGCCATATGAATTAGAATGCGTAGAAAATGATGAGAAGATTCTTGTTGAATACTTAGCTTTGCTATATAATAAACCTTAAAATTCTAATTTGCTAAAATCTTTTGCAATGTTTCCATCAATTAACAAAATCAAAACTCAATATTGATAAAAAGTGTCACAATTTTCCAGTCTCACGTTGCTTCTTTTTCACAGTCAATAGCATTTTCGAAGTGTGACGACTCAGCATGCCAACTCTGTGCTACAAATATTTCCGCAAATTTTCAATTCAGTTCACGTGTCTGAAATAAAAATATTTCTGAAAAATAAAAGATTGCATAAAAATGTACAGTAAGTAAAGCAACAACAAAAGTTAATTCAGTGTTCGAATTTGTGTTTATTCTATTGGTTCTTGGCTCTTTTAGTAATATAACAATCTATTACAAAAAGATAAAAATCAAAAATAAAATTACAAAAATGTTTTGCCATTCAAAAAAAAAATCTTGGAATTTAAAAGAGGCTTATTCACGACGATCTATCTAAGGTATTTCTTTCACAATATAATAATATATTCTATAATAATTTACGCTTATCATTTTCATTGTACAGCAGCAAGCAGTAGCATTGAAAGTCATTTATAAAACGATTGATGTTATTATTGTATGCTGCTTCATCCACTTACTTCTGCTCTTACAAGAAAAAGAATAAAAAAATCTTATTACAACTTTAATGGTTTCATTACATTCGTGCAGACTTATTCAACATCTTTATTGCACAATGGCAAAAAATATACAATTGGCAGCGGAGAGGAAGAAGAATGAAGTATTCTAGTCGTAAAGTCGCACAGGAAAATGCACAAATATAGTAAAAAATGATATGAAGAGATTAAATTATTTATAAATTTAGAGATAAACGATAATTGGTCGCCTTCGAGCGAGCATTCATATTTGGACTTTTGTGAGACTTTTTAAATTTTTTTTTGGGAAGTAATATCGTAGAACAATGAAATCTTAAAATGGATACTCAAATATTACGCACAAATAAAAAGAATTGATTTGATATTATTGACTCTTGATTTTTTATTGCTTTGGTTTGTTCATATCTTGTCAATTCCTTTATTTGTGCTGTTCTTTTGTTATTTAAATAATTGTAACAAAATAGACCTCAGAATCTAATAAAGTCTTCTGGGAATTTCGAATGAATTCACGTTCTCTACATATATTTGTTCTGTATTCTTGAAGTTTAAGGATGAATTTGATTTAAATTCAAAATTCTTTTCATTCGTTGAGATTAAAAGTGGAGTAAGGAGGTTGTGAGTAAAACAGCAGCATTTGACAATAAAGTTTTTAAGTTTGTTTGGTCATCAAAAGCTTTGTTCCTTGCTGTTTTAAAGAATATCTAAATGAGAATCCAGTCTGGAGTTCACTCCTCAATTTTATCAAAGATTTAAACATTTCACAAAGACTGAACTTTTTCAATCAATGATCAAACCAGTTCATTCAGTCTTGCAATCAGTAACAGTCACTTTTATCAAACGAACTTGATTGGATTTATTGGTTCCAGTTCAAATTAATGTGTGCCAAATTTATGAAATTTCAGAGATTTTAATTTAATTTCATGTAACTTATTGTGAAACTAAAAACAGCTTTCCAGTTAACATTTATCAAATTCTTTCAATAAACCGCACCTTGCAACTGATTGCACCTCTAACTTGTTTGCTAATATTTCTGTAATTAACCACTTAATTCTGCTGAATTTATTTCCTCAATTTTTAAATACATGATTTAATTTAATCAAGATTGTCGATAATCATTCAGATCCATTCATCAGACATACAAAATCTGATGTGTGTAGTCTTTATAGCAACAAATAAATTGTGCAAATAAATGATTTTTGGAACAGATCAGATAACATATCATTCAAAGTCATCAAATATGGCATTTATTGACCAATCGACTACAAAATTTACAAGCCATTATATCAACAAATGCCTTGATTGACTGAGATTCTTCATAGACGAGGACTTGGCACAATTTAAGATTTCAAATAATCTACGATTTATCATTGACATGAATGAGTCAAAATTTGATAATGTGATATACATCTTTTATATCCAAATGCACTAATGTGATTTGTAAGAGGGGAAAATGTGACGGCAGAGAATTTATTTTAACATCCAAATCGTTCAAAATAAAACTCTATCAAGGTGTTGAAAAAAAATCATGTTAAATAAATAATATAAGTCAAGTGAATGAATTAAGTAAGTAAGTGAGTGATTAAGTTAGTTCATACAACTTGTACAGTCGCAAACTCGCTGAATGTGACGCGTTTGGGTAATTCTGGTGCAGGTGATTGTGAACTTTTTGTTTTGATGACAGGCTTGAGAGGTGTTTGACGTGGTTTCGCTAGCAAACCTGCCGATGTTGCCAGCTCTCGAAGTTTTTGTGATAAGCCGCTTTGCGGTTTATTTGGTGTTGTGATCACTTGTGGAAGTTGACTTGGAGTTATGTACCTGTAAAATAAGATTAAAAATTAGTCATGACTCATGATTATATGCAAATTTTTAAGTAGATATGTTGAGAAATTGTGTCAGTCACTTTGATTGAGATATTGCTTCAATAATTTTTTGACGAAAGTAAATTTGCATCCCAGCAAGTAAATCATGTTAAGTCCCAACTTTTACTAACCATGGTCAAAGAGATTTTTCGTAACGAATCTAGTTTTTGAGACTTAGATTTTACTTTCATTTTAGGGGTCATTGATAGATTACGTCAATGATTTTCAGTAAAGCAACAGCTTTAGCTCTGAGAGTAGGCTGAATTGCACTTGTCGTCTTGTCTTCAACTTCAAGTGTTATTCCAAACAGAACCACAACATTGTAAAAAAATCCAATTGTATATAGACATAATTTATGAACTACTCCCGAGATGATTTTAACTTTCAGGGTTTGAATGATTACGCAGAAATAAGAAGCAATCAGCAAAAATGCTCACATAAATTTATAGTCAAATAATTCGAATGGTCAAGCACTCCCCAAAGCATTTCACATGAGTATGAAATAATTGAAAAGTTACATCAAGAAAATCGTGCATGAGTTTTCTTTCTTTCACAAAAAATCAGTTCCAATTCCATCAATTAAGCTGATGTATTTCTATACATCAAAGAAATAAAAAGTCGCGACATAAAATGACTTAACAGAAATGCATTTTTAAAAGCTTACCCGAATAGACAAAGAGCGTGCTCACTTTTGTGAGCACGTTAATGAGCATGCTCAAAATCATCATTTAACGTGCTCACCTGAGCACACTCAGTTGAACATGCTTGTGAGCACATTGTGAATATGCTCACAAAAAAACAAATTTTTTGAAATTTTTTATTTTATTGAGCATGCTCGAGAGCATACTCAATTCCTAAATCTAAGCATGCTCACTTGAGTACACTCTTAAGCATACTCGTGAGCACATTGTGAATATGCTCACAAAAAAATCAATTTTTTTAAATTTTTCATTTTATTGAGCATGCTCGAGAGCATACTCATTCTCGAGAGCATGCTCATGAGCATACTCAATTACCAAACTTAAGCATGCTCACTTGAGTACACTCTTAAGCATACTCGTGAGCACATTGTGAATATGCTCACAAAAAAAACAATTTTTATAATATTTCACATTTTATTGAGCATGCTCATGAGCATACTCAATTCTCAAATTTAAGCATGCTCACTCTTAAGCATACTCGTGAGCACATTGTGAATGTACTCTAAAAAACATTTTTTTTTAAAGATTTCACATTTTATTGAGCGTGCTCAAGAGCACATATATTGAGCATACTCTGAGTATGCTCATGATTTTGTATATACTTCACAAGTCAAAGTTTTTAGAATTATATATAGTTATCTACTTTTTAACTATAAACATTGTTTAAAAATATTTTGAGATCAATTTCGAAGTATTTAACTTTGTTATAGTTTATATATGAGTTTTTGCCATAATAAATTATAAAGGTAAATTGCAGCAGTGGTGTAATGGTTATGGTAATGGTCTTAGCAACAGAGCGGTCGTAAGTTCGAATCCAGGTAAAATCCAAAATTTTCTTAAGTGTTTTTTTCAGATTATTAATGAACAAAATTTATTCTAGAACATTTAAAAACCTTACAATAGAAAAATATATCAAAAAAATAATTTCAAAATTTAATTTTTTTGAAAATTATAAAATAATGTGAGTATACTCAGTGAGCATGCTCAGAGTACACTCACGAGCACACTCACTGAGTGTACTCAAATGTCACATCATATGACATAAAAAATGTTGCGTGTCACACAACAATTTGAGCATGCTCAAAATTTGTTAAAATAACGTGCTCAGAGCATGCTCAAAAAGCGTGCTCATTAGCGTAAAGTAGTGGCATCACTTTTCGTATGAAAGAGCACGCTCACGCGAGCATGCTCAGCACTAAATTTGAGCGCGCTCATAGCGTGCTCTTTGTCTATTCGGGTTAATTAAACATAAAAAGCGTAATATGTTCATGCCGTAATTATTCATCATGCGTAGTATATACGGCTAGCTATATATGATCTTTCATACTCCATTTTTAATTAATTACATGCACAATACATTGCACTGGTTGACATTCTAACAGGTAGACTTCTGTTTCTCTCCTTCATTCATAACAGTTTCATAATGTGACTGTAACTTGCAAGCAAGCAGGCAGGCTCTCTTAATTTGATTTTGCGGTTATGTTTTCACTTTCATGCGAATTAACTTGCAAAGTAATCTGTGAGACTCCTAATAAGGCTGTCTCGTGAATTGAGTAACCATGATATTACAAAGTCAATGAGAGTGTGTAAAATTACTTTTCTGATAATTCTTATGCATGTATCAACGAAAATTACTTTTTAGCTACATACGCAATATTTATAGGAGCTATTATGTGAAAGTGAAATTTTTGTTTTGTCACGAACGCTTGTGTCTTAATAACATACATTACGGCTAAAATGCACCAATTGTATGATATATTGTTGAGAATCAGAATTGAGAGTAGTGACATTAATGAGTGCCTTTCATCATTTTTTTTTCTGACGCGAAAGTGCTTGACAAAAGGCAGACGTGAATATTTAATTAAGCTGTTAAGGGGTTGCCTTAGGCAAGAGGAAAATTAGCTGAGTTGCATGCATAAGACGATTGTTTTGAGGCTTTCAAGTAAGGTTATAAGCTTAATGTCAAGTACTTTTTATCTGCTTCCCAATCTGACGCCTTAAAAAATTTGGATAAGATTAACTAGTCCTTGAATTGAAATTTTACATTGCATTATCTTCGCTTGATTATATGAGCACTAAAACATTCAATTACAGTTGAATCGATATACAAAGATTATTCTAGAACATTTTACATTACTCGTGTGACCACGGATAGCTATATGCAGCTATATGTATGTTGAAATCAAGAACTATTAAAAATTCATAAATCTAAGGTTACAACCTATTACAACAAAAAAGAACACACGGAAAAGCTGAAGGTATCCGGAAGGAAAAAGAACCGAGACAATAAAGTTTATTAATTTCAAATGAAAATTCCAAAGAATTTATTACCCTTCACATTATTTTTTTTACAACAAAATTCCAATATGACATGCATGAGAAACCAGCGAAGATTTTTGATGAATGCGTTAAAAATTTCAAATGAAGCATAAATGAAAAATGATCAAAAGGTAAAAACGGCGTCGGTACTTGTGTGTGAAGTTATCTATTACTAATAAAGCAAAGAAATTAAAAAGAAGCATTGATCGTCCGCAGACATTATACTCTCCGGATATTTTCATTTTGTACGCGACCAAAAATAGACGCAAAGTTTCAGTTTCATTTGGCATAGATTCATTCATTTTAGACAGCCGGCTATTCACAAAACACTCGCACTTATTTGAGAATCACGAATTTGTTTTCTTTTCATAACAAAATCAATCAATACTACGTCATTCAGTCTTCAACTGTCTGTTGTCATTGTTTTTATAGAAAATAGAGACTCTTTTATAATATTGTCAATTGTATAATGGAAGAGAAATAGAAATAGTAAGAGCGAAAAATTGAAAAGTCATTACATTCATTCATTCAGCAGAAGCGTTCATGTCAAATGCGCAGTCTTTACGTTCATTTATATTTCAATGACGATAATCGTGCCTCTCACATTGCTTTCTTGACATTGCTTCTCTTCTTTTCCCTTTCTGTACTTGAAATAAAAAAAAACATAAATAATGATTGAATATGAAGCTCGCACACTTTTACCCACTTTACTACTTCCGCTTTATCTCATTACTAACTACCTTACTGTCCCACAGTGGGAAACGTGATTGTTCTAATCTGCTTTTGTTGTTTATGTTGTGATACATGAAGTGTGGTTCGCTACATTATTCTTCTCGCGCATAATCATTGAAATGAGTTGGAGAAGCATTGGAGGTTTGTGAATATGCCGCATTTTTTATTTGCTTGCCTTATTACTTTAAAGCAAATGATCAGTCTCAAATGTACAGGAAGAAAAATGACTCAAAGACATTTTAATCTTAATTTACCAAAAAGGAAGGATTTTTTCGAAAAAATTCGAGCTGTAATCAAAAAAATTGTCATTTGGTGCCATAAATTTCAGTCCTTGACTTAAATTACAACCTTTAGCATAATCGTTAGTGAAGACTAGGATCATCCAGATTCGAATAATCGTTCTTTTAATTAGACAAATACAAAACAACATAAAGCTTCCCAAAATGTTCAAAAACAAACCTCATTTCCTCTTTAATTCAGTTTAAAATATGGAATTTTTAAATGGTAGGAAAGAATTGCTAATGCGTCAAATTAATAAAGTCATTAATAGTTAAATTATAACAAAAAAAATGGAATAATGAAAACGAGAAAAGGGTTATTCATCGGAATAAATTTGATTTACAATTGTTTAAGGTTAGACATAATAAAAACACTTTTTTTTATTGTTTTAATTCTCATTCCCGGCAGTCAAGTTTGGAAGTTCATGTGTTGATACATTTCAATTGAATGTTTTTGAACTTGTTGAATAAATATTTGTGTTGACATTTCAACCTTTAATTCATTATCATAAAAGTAATAAACATCATTGCTTTATTTGAAGGTTATTAATTGAGTTTTATTTAATAATGGATATGATAATAAGGCTCATTAGTCTCATGTCGAACTGTATTATTTAGCTTGATATATATTTGTTCAATTATAGTCTAATCTTACAACCACACACCTTATCCACGAGTGGATTATAGTTTCTGCGTATAAATTATCTATGAAGCTTCATTCTCGTTTCCATTAATTTTCTATTCCAGAGATGGAAGTTTATGATGAAGAGAATGAAGAATACTCATGACTTTAAGAGACTTTAATAGCTGTTTTGGACAAATCATTAGAATTGAGCAGAATGAAGATTCGTGGAAAGTTCTTTCAAATAAGAAGCATCACTGAATAATAGAATTGAAAGATATCAAAATGAAGATTGATTATAGCT